AGGAGGGATAAATTCAAGATCATATTTTGGCTCTCGTAGATTTGTTTTCATTTTCTTCAGCTTTAATTTGAATTTGCATATCAGTAATTTATGCCCATAGAATCCTTCAATACCACAAGTCAAGGCTTGAATTTTTAATACCCTCAGCTTGAGAAATGTTAAGCATATTCTTCCCTTTTGGTTTTCTAACTCCAGGTCTTTGCACATTTTATTTTGATATTTGACTTTGTTTTCTCAAGCTGACCTTTGAATTGTTCTGTTCAGTTCCTGTACCTCCTCATTTCTTCCATATGCTTTAGCATCTCTACGCTGGAGAGCAAGTTTCAGAGTCCTTTCTGACATCCATATTTGTCTTTTACTTCTTTTTTGTCTTCTTAATAACCTTTTGTTTTCTTCATTTATGATGTTCTTGATGTCATACCACAACTCTTCTGGTCTTTGATCTTTACTGTCAAATGCATCAATTCTATTCATCAGATGAGCTCTAAATTCAGATGGAATATGTTCAAGGCTATATTTTAGTTCTCATAGACTTGGTTTAATTTTCTTCAGCTTTACCCTGAACTTGCATATGAGCAATTGATGGTCAGTTGTACAGTCTGCCCCTGGTCTTGTTTTGACTGATGAAAAGGAGTTTTTCCATGGTCTCTTTCCACAGATGTAGTCAATTTGATTTCTGTGTATTCCATCTGGTGAGGTCCCTATGTATAGTTGTCTTTTATGCTTTTATGGTATTTTTTTTTAAGTGTTTGCATTGAAGAAGTCATTGGTCCTGCAAAATTCTATCATGTAATCTCCAGCATTGTTTCTATCACCAATGCCATAGTTTCCAATTACTAATCTTTCCTCTTTGTTTCCAAATTTTGCATTCCAGTCTCCAGTAATTATCAGTACATCTTGATTGCATCGTTGATCATTTTCAGACTGAAGAAGTCAGCAGAATTGTTCAGTTCCATCATAACTGGTTTTAGTGGTTGGTGCATAAATTTGAATAATAGTGGTATTAATTGGTCTTCCTTACAAGTGTATGGATATTATCCTATCACAGACAGCACTGTACTTCAAGACAGATCTTGATATGTTCTTTTTGATGATGAACACAATGCCATTCCTCTTCAATTTGTCATTCCCAGCATAGTAAACATTGTGATTTTCAGATTCAAAACAGGCAATAGAAATCCATTTTAGCTCACTAATGCCTATGCTATCGATGTTTTTGCATTCCATTTCATTTTCTCACAATTTCCAGTTTTCCTAGATTCATACATTCCATGTTCTGATTATTAATGGATGTTTACAGTTGTTTCTCTTTATTTTGAGCTATGCCCCATCAGCAAATGAAGGTCTTGAGGGCTTTACTCTATCTGTGTCTTCATGGTGATCTCTGCTTTGTTGAAACAGCTCTTCTCCTGTCACATTTTGAGTGACTTCCAACCCGAGGGCACATCTTCTGTCACTATATCTGACAATATTCTGGTGCTCTTCATCGTGTTTCAATATGCAATATTCTGGTGCTGACAGTGTTTCACTGCTATTCATAAGGTTTTTGTTGACTAAATATTCAGAAGTAGGCCATCTCTTCTTTTTCCTACTCTGTCTTCATCTGGAAACTCAGCTGAAACCTGTCCACCGTGAGTGACCCTGCTAGTATTTAGAATACCCATGACTTAGCTTCCAAAATCTTAGCAACACACAAGGCACCAAAGTATGACAAACTGACAGATGATTGATGTTGACAACTAAATACATAAATATATATAAATATAAATATATCTTCAGATATCGCAAAATTTTCTTTGGCAGTGGAAAAGGAAGTACTACAAGAGACTGCTGGTATATCCATTACCCATAGAGGAAACACTTAGAGATGCGTGTTCTCTTTTAATTTTCATCTGGAATCAAGGGAAGTCTATTGTTTTTATGCATTTTCCCCTCATGCAAATGATAGATTTGTGTGCAACCTCATAAGTAATAGGTGCTTTTTTGCATGTGTTGACTAGTAATGACAAGAGAGTAGTCAACATGAATATGCTCCCCTCTATCATTTTCAGAGCTCTGGTAGTGTAGTGGTTACGAATCAGGCTGCTAACCTCAAGGTTAGCAGTTCGAAACTACCACCTGTTCTGTGGGAGAAAGATGAGGCTTTCTGCTCCCGTAAAGATTTACAGCCTCGGAAACCCTGTACAGGGTCACTATGAGTTGGAACCAATTCGACAGCACTTAACAACATCAATTTCAGAAAACTGCCAACTACCGTATTTTTCTGAGCACTCCTTTCCAAGGATCCGTGACAGTACAGACTTGAGCAGAAGCTCTAAGGTTTTTGCTAAGTGCTATCGTTCCAGCTCACAGGAAATCTGGAGAGGGTTTCTAAGGCTGTAAATCTCTACAGGAGCAGATAGCCTTAACGTTCTCCCTGGAAGAGGCTGGGGATGCTCAAAGCACCAACTTTATCTTATTCTCAAACTGCAAACTTATTACAGACTAGTGTTTATCCTATAAAGCCAGCGCGTTCCCCTTTCTAAGGTAGACCCATTATTAATTCAAGTTTAGCTAAATATTGCACAACTTACCACTGATTCGACGGCCACAGTGCTTTAGCGAATGTCCAGAAATTGCTCCCGCCTTTGGCACTCTTGGAAGGAGCCCCGTTACACTTTCTTTCAAGAAGCAACCAAACCTGTTTTAAAATTGGTTTAACTTAGAAAGTACAATATAAATAAGCACTGAGGTAATAGCTTCTATTTTCTAGATACTAATAAGTCAGGGATAAAGGAAAATAAACTAAAAATATTTTCCCTGACACTTTCTGGGAAGAACGTTCTTAGAGACAATTGCAAAACATCTAATGGTTGCTTAATTTTCACATTGTTTTTCTTTACACTCACAATTTTAAGTTCAATGTAGAAAATCAACCAGATTAAAGCGTTAATGATTTTTCTTTTGCTCCAAAATATTCAAGGAAATTTTGTTGGCACTTAGTAGTTGTTTTTGTAAATACTTTTTTTTTGCTTAAAAACAAAAAAGTAAAGTTAAGTCCAGATATGGGGCTCATTTTGTTCATTACCTCTTTGTAGATTGCACCTAATAGAATATTTTCAATTTTTAATAACAATACTAGTGTTATTCATGAGGATTCTAGAACCAAACTCAACTTTATCATTGTACCTCTGAGATACATTTTGGCTTTTCTGTGCAAGTTTAACATGTAGGATTAGGCAATAATTAGCTGGTTTCAAATTCTTAAAGCCAAATAGGTTGAAGATAAAAGAGCTATAGACATAGAACTGGAAAAAACAAAGTTAATTCTGAATATTGATCAAAATCAGCAGAAATTAAGAGAAAACTAGGAGTGTATTTATGGATGGATCTACATGACCTAATTAAGAAATTTAATTCCCAACTATTTTTCCAGGGCTCTTACTTTTCCATCCTATCACCTGCTCACACACACACAACACATACACACACAGCTTAGTAGTCTTCTGTTTACATTTGTTCTCCCCCAATGCCACAAATTCTAGATTTTACCAATTTATATTCCAAATAAATGTTGTCATACAAATTATGCCTTAGGACTATATTATCTGCAAATGTGATAGTGGGTTAGGTGGTAAACTTGTTTCCTTGCTTACAAGAAATATTTGCCTGATTAGGTCCTTTCTTGACAGTCTAGGTAATCTCTTAACCCACTGATTCTCAAACATTTTCCTTTTGTCCGTGGACAAATGATTGCCTTCTACTTTAAATGAAGAATCCTACTGTGGTGCTGTTGTATAAGCACTGGATTGCTAGCCATAGGATCAGCGGTTCAAAATCACCAGCTGCTCCTCAGAGACCCTATGTTGAATTACTATGAATCAGAACTGATTCATAGGCACTTAACAACACTTTGAGTGAGTGAGAACATTTTTGCACAAGAATGATTTGAAAAGTGATTGACCACTTCAATAATGAACTACTGACTTTTACCTTTTCTGTGTGTCATTAGTTGAACTTGCAGGAAGAAAACTGAATAATAAACACCTGGGCTGGAAGGTGCACATCATCTGACAGTACTGGGCACTTGGGGTGTACATGGAGGTTATATCTCCTCCTCGAAAGAAGATATTCTTATAGAGTTGAGTCAGACATCCTGTAATATAATCATAAACATTCATTATTTTGAAATAAATACAAATAATTTTTAGAAATGCCTCAGTGTTCTGAACCTCCTTCCACTTAATATCCAACTTGACTGTAACAATGGAGGTACAATGAAACAAATATTAAGAAAATAATTTGAGTAATATATAATGTTATTTAATATCATTTTCTGGGCACTTCTATTTGAAAAACATGGCTAAATTTAACTAAATTATACAATAATTTGCACATAAATTATCTCCAATTAAGTATAACCCCAGCTTCATTTCACCATGTAAACTAACATACTATAAAAATATCATGCCTTAAAAATAGCAATGTGTGAACTTTTTCAAAACTCTTTCATGACAAACTAGCTTTTGACAATCACTAGCTATTTATAACCACTCCATAAGGGAAGCTAAGGTAGGCTTTGTTATCTGCTTAAAAAAAATTTTTTTAAAGAAGTAAATAAGTCTCAAGACAGTAGAGACCTGCCCAAGATCACACAACTAATGAATGCCGTGGGCCATGGGGCAGGAATCTAGCTCCTCAAATTCCCAAATGTTTTTCCTTTTTCAATTGTGCAATGCTATTGTTTCTCATCTTCAGTCTAATTTAAGCAAAGTAATAGTTTGGGGTATATTTTACTTTAGGGATGAATGCAGGAGAGAATACATGATGTTTAGTTTTGATAAACTCATTTTTTAGATGGTTTAAGCAAGTGTCTGCTAATGTCAAATTAAAAACAATTTTTGACTATTTGTTCTTTGGAATTATTCATAACTCTAAAATGCATCCACACATTACTAGAGAATTAAGTGTTATCTTTACTGTCTTTAGTATATGAATATGAGTTTACCTTGGGACAACCCACCTGAAAGTCTATTTTAAAAGCTTCCTACTCTGGTAGCATATTCATTTTAGATAGTTCACTGTCTGTTAACCACACAATATTCTAACAATAGCCTTGTTCATTTCCTTTGGCAGTGGTAACACTTCAATTTTAATAACATCCATTTTTACATTGCCTTCTAGATAATAGGTATCTTAGACAACATATATTTCATTAAGCACTGCAGATTAATATTTTATCTGAACAACTCTACCTTCCATTTTGACTACTGAACCCAGAAAGATTAGTCATCTTAATCTCAGAAGTGTGGCTAAGATGACTATCCCTTGGGTAAGGTTTATATTTGGAAACTGTACAATTATCTTCAGGAAGAATCTTTTAGAAATATAAGTGTTCAAGTGATTTGTATAGATTTTATACATACACAAAATGCTATGGAAATTGATCCAGTGAAAATACTAGTAAAGAAATCTATTTTATAGACAAGTAATGTTTTTGGCTGACTCATAATTTAAAAATCTGTACTTCCCACCCTGACCTCAGTGCACACATCTGTGTACAAACAGTGGTCAGTGCTAGCCTAAGAGTTCCCATTCTGCAGTAAAGCCTCTGTGAACCGCTATGTGGCTAAGCAACAACAGGAAGGTGACTAGAAATGCACCAACTGTTAGGTTGATTGGGAAGAAACTTAATAGATGTTCTTCCTTACTCTTAACAGTTGCTGGTGGTGAGAATAACATGATGATACATGTGAAGCAGTGTTCCATAAATCCCCTCATAATGGCCATAGCTGTCACACTGGCCATGAACTTTGGGCAGGATGTTCTAAAAAGGTTCTAATGAAATAATTACATGACCAATAAGGAGAATTAAAGCACTCTCAATTTTAAAAAATGAGTAAAGTATATAATAATTTACAAAAGAACTGCAAGTACCTAATAACTATATGGAGTCCTGGTGTGGCACTGCAGGTTAATGTACTTGACTACAAGATTGATTTGAAATACAAGGTCGGTGGTTCAAACTCACCAGCCGCGCCTCAGAAACCCTGAGTAAGATGTCTATGAGTCAGAACCAGCTAGACAGCACTTAACAACAACAACATTTCTAATCACAGCATTTCTGCATATGGGACTCAGATAATATAGTTTCTCATTTTCTGCTTTTTTGGTGTGGTGCTGTGGGTTAATGTGTTGGACTACAAGGTTGGCAGTTCAAGCTCACCAGCCTTTCCTTATAAACCCTATATAGGGTTGCTATGAGTCGGAACAGACTCTATGGCACTTAGCAACAACAAATACAATCTAGAATGGATTGCTTTCTGCGATAACATATAATTGGAGTGGCCATAGTCTACTACAGCTCCGTCTTCTACTCCTTCTCAATATTGAATGCGTTTATACTTTGTTGATTATGGTTCAAAAAATTCTTTAAGGAGTAAGGAATAGATGGAGCAGCATTGTGACTTAGTGGTGAAAAAAAAAGAAAGAAAGGAAAAACCACACACACAAAATAAAGCTTTCAAGAACTTCTCCTAAAGAAATTTAAACTCTTACGAATATAAATTTCACTCAAGAGATGTTTACTTCAGCCATACATCTGAGGGGTTAAGTAAACAACCATCTTACTTCAACACAGACTAGAATACACCTAGAGTGATGCTGCAGAGAAAACTCCAGTCTGCATTGATTAATGAAAACCAGAGTCCACTATCATCTTTATTCTCAGAAAATGAAGGGAACAGTAAAAGATCAAAATCTGATGTTGGAAAATTTTTCATACACAAATATTCAAAAGAATTGTTTACTATTCTTTTGAATAGTAATTTAAATTGAAATCAGATTCTTCCACTTCTGAAATAGTGACTGAAAAGAATAGGAAAGTATGTATCTATCATGACACTTGGGTGGACCCAGATACTAATAAATACCTAGCACTCTAGTAGCGTAGTGGTTACGAATTGGGCTGCAAACCTCAAAGCAGTTCAAAACTACCAGCTGTTCCGAGGGATGAGGCTTTCTGCTCCCGTAAAGATTTACAACCTCGGAAACCCTGTACAGGGTCGCTGTGAGTTGGAACCGACTCCACGGCACATAACCAACCAACTCTTTTGAAGATTCAAATAAAGGTGATTATTTTTTAAATGTTGATATTAAAAAGAGAGTGGTGATTTTTTGTTTTTATTTTTATTTGTCTTTGTATCTACTTTGCATAGAGTTCATTCCAAATAGCAGCTTATTCACACAAGTTCTATGACAGTCTGCTCTACTAAGCTCCTCCTCCTGGTCTGTAATGGTTGTCTAGGAAAATATATCCGGAAGTGGTACCTGATCCTAAACATGAGAAGGACATGGGTCCTGAAGATGAGTGTTCAATAGCTTTCTGCAAAGGTGGAGTGTCTAACTCAATTACTCCTCTATCACACCCTTCGCTTTAAGCCTTGAAAAGACTCCACTTACCACAGGAAACGGTAGCAAATAAGGAAATGAAATAAACTGTATGCCAGAATGAAACCATCCTAAAAAAGAAAAACAATACATGTATGACTCTGCCGATGATTTTAGACCATGTTCAACATGAAATTACACTTCAGTTAATAGATTTTTTAAACTAAGTGCCTGAATTACTAATCTAAGTACACAATTACCACTATAAAGTAGAAGAGTTTTCTTCATATATTTTATGCCTTAGAACTTTTAAAATTTGCAATACTTTCAAAGATACAAATTAAGTCCTCTGGACTATTATTGTGTTTGTTCTTGATTTGCATCCTTTGTAATTTTATAAAGGAAATTAATTGAGTAGAGAGAAAAAAAACCAGATGTGAAACCTCTTGATTTGAGTAAAAATTAAGCTATTGCAAGTAATAGTAATGACTGGTTGACTTGCTGTATGCCACTGAGTGTGCTCTGACTCATAGCAACCTTGTCTAGGGATTCTGATGTTATAAATCTCATCACAGCAGAAGTCTCATCTTTCTCCCATAGAGTGCCTGGTGGACTTCAACCGCTGACCTTGAGGTTAGCAACCCAACACATAATGTACTACACCCTTAAGGCTCCTTTATAATAGCAATAATACAGTCTCAAATCTCTAAATAAAGAAAACCACTGAGAACATTCATGAGCCCATTTCTAATTTTTAAATTGGTCAAATGTTATCTTTGGCTTTGAAATATCTTGTATTTAAATATTTTCACATATATTATGATCAGTTCCTTCTAGGCTCTCTAAATACTAGGGAAATTAGAACATAAAATAATAGCTTCTTCATAAAGTAATAAAAACAAAAACTAAAATACAGTTATCGTTAAAAACTGCTTTATTTGGTAGCAATCAGAATAATAAAAAGTCTCTACCTGAAAGCACATTTGCTTCCGTGGATCTGGTGGTGAGGGTATCTTCTTGCCACTTAAAAATGAATGGTCTCCAAGCTTTCCTAATGTGCCACTGCAGGCAATATTTGCTTGACTTCAATATTGACTTTGGTTTTGTGCCAATGGTTTCAGCATTTATCCTGGCAACATATTGCATGAGTGTCTCAATTCTGTGTTCAGCTGTCTTCTTTAATAGATTAACTATTTCATGTTGGTGGTGGTTGTGTGCCATTGAGTCGGTTCTGACTCATAACAACCTTGTATATAAGGTTTCCAAGGCTGTAAATCTTTATGGGAGCAGGAAGTCTCATCTTTCTCTGGAGGAACAGCTGGCAGATTCGAACTGCTGACCTTGTGGTTAACAGCACAGCTTGTAACACACTATGCTACCAGAGGGTCACGCAATTCATGAACAGGTTTCCTTTCTTTAAAGTGCTCATAACATCTCCAGTGATTTGGAATTGTGAAACTTAAAGCTCATCTAGTTTATTCAGAGTAAACTCATCTTCGTTTATTCAAAGAAATATATAACGTTGACATTTCAGGTTTGGAAGGACTGTGTTGTAGGATAAGCACTTGATTGCTAACTGAGAAGTTGGCAGTTCAAACCCATCAAATGCTCCTCAGAAACTTATACAAGGTCGCTATAAGTCAGAACCAACTCAACATCACTTAACGGTAACAACAACAACCCATGCAATTCAGGCAACATGTTATATCAGGAGTCAGCAAACCACAGAACATGGACTTGGTATCTATATTTTTTATATAAAATGTTATCAAATATAGCCATATTCATTTGCTTATATATTGTCTATGACTGTTTTACTCTACTATTATAGGGTTCTGGTGTGGTGCTGTAGGATCACCATAGGATAAGTGTAAGGTTAGTGGTTGAATCCACCAGCCACTCCTCGGAAAGCCTATGAAAGATTGGCACTTCAAACCCACCAGCACTCCTTGGAAAGCCTATATATATATACAGTGTTGCTATGAATCAGAACCGATTTGATGGCACTTAACAACAACAGCTTTGTTTTATTGGGCACTGGAATCCTGCTGTGGCACTGTAGGATAAGCTAACTGCAAGGCTGACAGTTTACCCAGCAACCGCTCCTCGGAACCCCTACACTGGGTCGCTATGGGTCAGAACTGACTCTGCAGCTCTCAGCAACAACTGGCATACCAGTAATCAACAAAAGGAAATCCACCACTTAGTGCAGTACAAAAGAATTTAAATTTTGGATACCATCTTCTATCAGCCTCAACAGAAAACAAAGATGATTTGGACATAAATAGCTTCCCACTACATCACTGCATAAGCATGCAAAAGTTGTTTCTCTAAAAGGTGAGATTGTAGATTTTTAGCCATTGCAATGGACTTCTGTGTTTAGTTTGAATTTTTATTACAGTGAAAGAGTAATTACATTCTAGTAAAACAATAAAACACAAAAGTTTATTTGTGAGTCTAAAATAACTGAATTAGAATTAACCTGAAAGAGGTACTGGTCGGCAGAATTCTACAATGCCCCTCAAAATGTTCCACCTAAAACCTGGAGACTGAATACTATGAGCTATTACAGCCATTATGATGCTCTGTTACATAGCCCAGTGTTAGAGAAGGCAGTCTATAAGATCACCTCACTTTTGGCACCAATTGTAAGTTCAGAAATCTTCAAGAACACCCTTTGGTTCGGTAATTTACTAGAAAGATTCATAGAACACACTGACAACTGTTATATTCATGACTACAGTGAAAGGATGCTGATTAAATTCAGGCAAGGGAAGTGATACATGAACAAGAGTCCAGGAAAGCTCCAAACACAGAGCTTCCAGTCATCTTCTCACAGTGGAGTCATGGACAATGACACCCTCTTAACAAAGAAGTGTGGTGAATACACACCGAATACTGCCAACCAAGGAAGATCACCTAAGCTTTGATATTCAGAGATTTCACTAAGACTCTGTGGTTAACCGTTCATCTGATTGACCTCAGTCTGCAACCCCTCTGGCAGTCAAACTGATGCCTCATGTATCAAAGCTTCCACCATAAATCACATTATTAGACTTTCAAGTATAGTCAGTTCAAGATCCTGAGATAAATATGACATTCCTACAGGGCAGGTTATCCCAAGGACTTAGAGAGTACCTCCTAGGGGCTCAGAGTAAAGGCCAGACCTGTCTATGGGCAATGGTAGCTTCTTTACTACTCACAAGGCAGAGGGGATGTTACAGATATAAAATCTGCAAAAAAATAAAACAAGAAAATAAATAAACATAGGGGTTTTTCAGATGGCACCACTTCTCTGTCAGTTTGTCATGCCATGGTGGCTTGCATGTTACTATGATACTGGAAACTGAGATATCAATATTTCAAATAACAGAAGGATCACCCATCTGGTGGATAGATTTTACTGGCATTTCCAGACTAAGAGTGGAAAAAGGGACCCGGCAACCTACTTCTTAAAAAAAAAATTAATGGCAAGTGAAAACTTTATGAATAGCAATAGAATGTTGTCTGATGAAGAATTGATACTTTTGAATTATGGCGTTAGCCTAGAATATTGAATGAATGTACCATGGACTGCCAGAAGAAAGAACAAATCTATCTTAGAAGAAGTATAATCAGAATGCTCCTTAGAACCAAGAATGGGTAGACTTAATTTCCCATACTTTGGACATGTTATCAGGAGGGCCCGTTCCCTGGAGAAGGACATTATGCTTTCACTGACATCCACAGTCAGTGAAAAAGAGGAACACCTTTAAAGATAAGGGTTGAAAAAGTGGTTGCAAAAATGAACTCAAACACAATTGTGAGGATGGTAGAGGACAGGAGAGTGTTTCATTCTGCTGTGCAGAAGATAAAACTGTGTCGGGGTGACTTGATGGCACCTAACAACAACAATTAAGTTTACTAATCAGTTGACTTTGAGCTCATTAAAAGGGAGACTATTCAGGGAGGCCAATCTAATTATATGAGCCCCTTAAAAAAAGAGATTTTTTTCCTGCTGTTAGCATAGAAGTCCAAGAACATACGGAGAGATTCTAAGTCTGAGAGACATTTGACTCTCAGAAGGAGGTTCTCCATTACTGACTTTGAGATGAAGGAGTCATGGGGTAAGGACCTGAGTGTGGCATCTAGGAACTGAGACAATCTCTCACCAATATCCATCAATAAAATGGAAATTTCATGCTTAAAACTGCAAGTTCTGCCGACAACATGAATGAGGTCTGAAAAGGATTCTTCCCCCAAATCTCTGGGTCACCATGGTCCACACCGTAATTCTGGCTTTGAGTCCTTAATCAGAGAACTCTGATGTAATGAATGAGTGTTGTTTTAATCTGTTAATATTGTGGTGATTTTCTACCACAAGAGAACACTCAAATTGAGGCTAATATTTATCTGAATTTACAGAGGTTTGGAGAAAGGGGGTTTGGAACTGAACCCTCTGAGGTAGGGAAAGTAACAAGTTTCCCTGATAGACCCTGGAAGCCTTGGATCTGAGGATGGGCCATAGACAAAATGGTGATTTACCACAGGCATTTTAAGAAGGTTGTGGTTTCAAAAGAAGCAGATATCCAGAATCACTGATGAAGCTGATGAAATTTCAGTGTTGCCAAAAGATGGGCCCACCAGGAAAGAAATGGACAAAAATTATAATGTCTTTCCCATTAGGAAAACATTAAGTTCATCAAGAAAGGTCCTTGGAGGTGCATTTTGTTGTGTTAAGTGCCATCAAGTTGGTTCTGAGTCATAACGACCCTGTACAAGGTTTCTAAGGAGCAGCTGATGGGTTTGAACTGTCTACCTTGGTTCACAGTCCAGTGCCACATAATGGTTGAAAAATAAATGTAACAGAAGTGCTGTCTTGGTGAGATAGGTCATATCTGTAAAGAGAACGCATAGCCCTGAATATGGAATTAAAAGACACTGAATAATTTTTTCTCTAAAAATAAAGAAAATAGTGGATATATTATGTATCTTGAACTCCTAATAACAAGATTTAATCAATAAATAGAAGGAAAGTTACTTATAGGGAAGGGAGGAAAGTATCAAAGTAAAAATAACCTTGAGATTTCTGTGTCCTACCTATTCCCATGATGTCGATTCCAAATTACAGTGACCTGATAGGACAGAGTACAGGTGCCCTATAGGGCTTCCAAATCTTTACGGAAGCACACTGCCGTATCTTTCTCCTGAAAAGCAGCAGGTGAGTTAGAACTTCCTGTCATTTGGATGGCAGTTCAGTGCTTAAGCACTACATCACCAGGGTTCCTTTCTATGTGCTAATGGATCAAATTGGTGAAGTCATGTAAGAGTTTTTTTTTTGTTTTTTTAAAGAAAAATAGGGAAGAAAATGGTATTTGATAACCCCTTCTAAGTGAATCACATATTGGAATAAGCAGTACTAAGTTCTGTAACAAACAATCACAATTAGTTATTCAATTAATTAAAAAATATTTCTTATGCATTACACAATTTAAATGGTCTGCTGCTCACATTCTTCCAAGCAGTGATTTAGGGAGTCAAGTTTCTTTTATCTTGTGATACCATCACCTTCAATATTTCACCTCCACAGGCATTGAACCATATGAGGGGTTTTGTGGACAGGTTTGGAATGGAATAGCTCACTCTTCCCCATGTTCCATGGTCAGAACTCAGTTACAAGACTGCAAGACTGCAAGAGAAGCTGGGAAACAGCTTCCAGAGTGCTTAGAAAAAGGAAATGGAATGGGTGAGCATGTAGCTGTCTCTTCTATAGACTTAAAATTCATATATTACGATTTTAACTTTAATTTTAATATATAAAATTCATATATTATGATTTAACATAATGTTCATATGACTACAGACAATTAACCCCAAACAAACTTCTAAGAAAACCCAGTACTTAAATATAAGAATCAACAGGATCTAGACCACAGCCCCCACACACACACATATACACACACGTACACATACACAATTTTTTTTTCCTTCCAATTTCCCCCTCATTTTCTTTGATAGTCTTACTGGCCTGCCTGAGGCTCTCTGAAGACAACATTCTCTACACACTTTTCCCTTCTGGAATGCTCTTCTCCCAAACAGCACAGTCTGACCTCTGCTCCAGTGTCATTTTCTGAGTTGCCATCATTAGATGTCCCACCTAAAAGTTCCCTCCCATCGCTCCTTTTTCTTTACCTTTTGTTTTTATTAAGAACACTTATCAGTACATGATATTGTATTATTATTTGTTCATTTATACATTGCTTTTGTGCCACCAACTACTCCTACCACCTTGTAAAATTGTAAGGTTAATGAGGGCTGGGACTTCATGTTTCTCTTTCCCCAGAGTACTGAATAGTATTTGGCACAGTTTTGGGGAATCTCTGCAGTGGGTGAAACGATGACTAAATAAATAAAAAATGAATTAAGTGTTCTTACTGGGTCTATAAAGGGTGTATGACAAAGCAAAAGCAAAATGGATTGAGGACAGGCTATATCCTTTATCTACAGTAGTGGACCATCTCACTGTAACATGAGAGCTGTAATCAACCTTGGGGAGGTAAAATCAGCTCATGGTTCTAGCTAGGTAACACTGAAAATCACTACTGGGCTAATAAGCCAGACCAGTTAAATGTACTGTTGAATGTGCCTGGGTGAGAATAGAAGTCCTTTTTGAAGTTGCAGCCAATTGCATCAATATGATACACTGCACTCCTTGGTCTTCAATATCTGCATTGTTGGTGGTCCCCAAAACCAAAACTCATTGCCTTCCAGTCTGTCACATAGTGACCTCATAAAGAGGGTAGAACCACCTCATAGCATTTCCATGCCTCACAAGGTCAGCAGTTCATATCTACCAGCTGCTCCCTGGGAGAAAGATGAGGCTTTCTGCTCCGGTAAAGATTTACAGCCTCGGAAACCCTATAAAGGGTCGCTATGAGTCAGAACGCAAAGGCACACAACCACCATTACCACCAATCTTTACAGAAGCAGACTAACACATCTTACTCCTGCTGAACAGCTGGTGGAGTCAGACTCTGGCTTTTCAGTTAGCAGCTAAGTACTTAATCACTGAGATACTAAGGATTCTTATTGCTGGTGTTGTTGTTGTTGTTGTTGTTGTTGTTAAGTGCCGTCGAGTCAGTTCCGACCCATAGCGACACTGTGTAGGGTTTCCGAGGAGCAGCTGGTGAGCTTGAACTGCCAACCTTGCAGTTCAAATGGCTTTGCAGTCTGGCACATTAAACCACAGCACCACACCAGGACTCCAATGATTAAGGCATATGGCTGAAATTATATTCCTACAACCATGTACCCATGATTTAAAAAAAAAAAAAAAAAATCTGTTGTAACTGAATGGTTTAAGTCTTAATTTAGTGTACTGCCTAATCACAAAACTTTAAAATCTGGATGTAATTGAGCAAGATAGAAAATAAATCCTAGAAGAAGTACATTATAGAAAAAAATTATATATTCCTTTCTAGAAGCACAGAGTAGGAATTCATTCCCTACTTATATATTCTTTATTACTCAGTCAAATGATGTATATGTTTAAAATGGATAATTCTAGAATAGCTGTTGTTGTTATTAAGTGCTGTCAACTTGGTTCTGACCCATTATAGGATTTCCAAAGAGCAGCTAGTGAGCTTGAACCACCGACCTTGTGACTCAAACTGACTTTGCAGTCCAGCGCATTAACCCACAGTGTCACATCAGGAGTCCAAATTATAGAATACATATGGCTAATTCAGAGGTAAAACACCCAAATACTAGTGAAACATCTAGCCATAGGCTTGTGTTCAGTTAATCGATAGCTTATTATTGTAGAAAGTGTTCCAGGTTTGTAATAAAGAGATTTATTAGAGTATAGACTTTTATTTCCAGTCTAATCATCAGTTAGTGGCATTACCTTGACCAAAAACTTTATTTATTTTTAATTCCATTACTTCTAAGAGAAGTAAATATAATTAGATAAGCTCAATGAACCATTTGTTAACTCTAGAGGCACTGCAAAGGAAAAGGCATTACTAAGAGGAATCTCTTCCACCAATTCATAACATATAAATGTAACTGTGATGTTATGAAGAATGAAATGAGGGCTGTAAGAGCACAGTGAAAAGAAACATAGAAAAAGAAAACTATGAGTCAACCTATAAATCACCTATTCTAGGTGATAAAATCTAAAAAGTGCTATAATAATGATTTTTCTCATTAACTGACACCACTGATATAATTCAAAAATGTAATCCCCTTAAATCAAATACTTAGTCGATCTGGTCAGATTACATGTAATATGTTGTAATAGTAAGGTTTTGTGTTAACTTGGCTGGGCCAGGATTTGGCAATTGAAATGTAGTTATCCCCATAATGAGACCTAAACAATGTAATTAACTCTATGATGTTTGGCTAGGAGTGGCCAATCAATTGAAAGGATGTTTCCTAGGGGATATGGTCTGCTTCTAATATATTAGACACTCGGACAAAGCTTGTTTGCTTTTTGCCGGGTCTGAATCTTGAATTTATCTGTCTTATCCTCTGACCTCAGGTTCTTTGGACTTGAACCAGTGGCCTGCTCCATTACCTGCTAATCCTGGGAGCAATCAGCAGCCTGCTCATCTACCAGGTTTGACTGCCTGTTGATTTTGGTTGTTCTGATCCAGACTTGGGACTCTCCCACCTCTATAATTATGAACCATTTACTTGATATAAACTTCTCTTTATATAAATACATATATACGTTTCACTGGTTTTGTTTCTCAAGAGAACCCAGCCTAAAACATATGTAGATATGCATGTATATCATCAGTAGTCAACAAAAATAATCCAAATATATATATATATTGAGCTTCATTTATATAATATCCTTTAGATCTTTCAATTTAACTAGAATCAGGTTATAAACTCTCTATTGGGAATGTTTTTGTCTTCTTAGTCAAGTACTAATATCTGCTAAAACAACTTAAGTTTGGGGACTGAAACCTGTGGTAGCATCTGTGGTGGCGATTAAATACAAAAGCTTTCTTTGGTAGACTTGACTCCAAGATCAGTTATTGTTGTTAGGTGCCATCAAGCTGGTAGGGACATGAAAATGAGGCCTGGGATTAAGAGTAATGAAAGCACAATCTATACATTTGAAGCAACAACTTTCTCTTAAAGGATGGCTATTTTCATCATAAGGGCAAAATCCAACAATACAGTTAGGATTCATTAAAATTTCTTCTCTTCAACTTGATCCAGATGCCATTATCTGGACGAAGAATCAACTCTCCTGTCAGACCAAGTTCTTCTCTTTTCTGGTTGCACTCAACCCAAAACCGCCTCAGGATGCAAGAAAGAATGGTCTTTTCTTCAATCATTGCAAATTTTTGACCTTCAAATAAAAGTAAATATCATCAAATTAATCATAGGTATTTTTCAATTGTGAGAAAATACAGGTCCCATTAAATAAAGCAAAGGAGCCTTGATGGTATAGTGGGATACCCATTGGGCTGATAACTGAAAAGTCAGCAGTTCAAGCTCCCCAGCCTCATTGCAGGAAAAAGATGAGGCTTTCTGCTCCCATTAAGATTTACAGCTTCAGAAACCCTACACAGGGTTGCTATGAGTCAGAACAAACTTAACGGCACACAATCACTACCACCGCCACCATTAAAGGAAGCAATAAATCATTTTCAAAGGTGGCCCTAGAAGAATCAAAATCACTTGGGATGCTTGCTAAAAATACAGATTTCTCAGCATTTCTGGCATCTCTACTATGTATTAAAAGATCTGGGGAGAGGCCAGGGCATCCAGTATTTTAATAGCATCCTAGATGACTCCTAGGTTCCATCAAAGCTTGAAAATCACTACTCTAGAGTGCTTTCTTTTGGAGTTTTTAATTTAATTTTTAACAGATTCACTATATTTCTTTTTTATTTACCCATTTAAAGCTAAACTTATTTCATTAATGTCTGTATTTTATAATTTATATTTTAGATAAATATAAATTATAAATGATAAATTATGTGAATGTGAAATTTATATAAGTTACGTTTACATAAATGACAAAATACTGGAGATAGTAAAACAAAAATGTTGATAATGCAAGATAGCATGCACTTGTTTTGAGACATTCTTTGTTTTGGCTTTACAAAATGCAAATTCTTAAATACAGGAAACACAAATCCCTGCTTGTATCCATTACTAACGGTTCCATTTCTTCTTGAAAGAGATATCACAATTTAGGCTAGATATAACTCGTTGCACCAGTATGTTTCCTGCTACAACAAATTATACCAAAGTCTAAAATCTGTAATAGTTTTAAACTCTACCATGAAACTGATATACTGTATGATAGCAATATTTTAAACTACAAATGAATAATAAAGAGGGAGAAAAAGAAAGCCAGTTTTCAAGACAGTGGTGTAAGGGCACTGATCTTTCACTACATCTCAAAGAAATTGTTGTGGGAAACTCACTCCGATGAGGGCCTGAAAGTTCAAACCATTTGTGATGGCTACTAACCTATACAGTTTCTGGGTCCAGCAGAGAAGGGCACATATGCGTATGAATGGCGTCCTTGCATATTCTCTGGAAAGAATCTTTCTGGCTTAAACTCCTCTGGATCTGGGAAGTATTTTGGATCTCTATGCAGGGCATAGGTAAGGATGACAGCTTCAGTGCCTTTAGAAATTTTGTAGCCCCCTGTCAATGAGGAGGCAATATGCCATGAGAATGGGGTAAAACAGACATTTAAATTTTTCACTCTCCCTGCTATTCTAATTCTAGAATACTTACCAACTTCACAATTTTCAGTAAGTGTTCGGGCAAATAAAGGAACAGAAGGAAAAATGCGAAGGCTTTCCTTGATAACACACTCCAAGTATTTAAGTTTCTTTAAGTCTTCTAAAGTAGTAGGGCGATCCGAGTTCCCTGAGGAAAGTACATAAGACCATGACATTGCAAGGACTACCAGGACATTGGGGAGTTGGGAATGGGGACATCGCAGAAGAATATATCATCCCACAACTGAATGTTAAATAGAGTACAATTTTAAATATACATAATCAAAATAACATGAAAGATTATGCTAAGTTAAAGAAGCCTTATACTAAAAGTCACATATTGTATATTATTGCTGTTGAGTCAGTTCTGACCCATATCAACTCTCTGCATAACAGAACAAAACACTGCCCAGTCCTGCGCGATCCTCACCATTGCTGCTATTCTTGAGTCATTGTTACTCACAGTGTCAAGCCATCTCATTGGGGTCTCCCTCTTTTTCTCTGTCCCTCCACTTTACCAAGCATGATGTCCTTCTCCAGGGTCTGATAATATGCCCAAAGTATGTGTGATGAAACCAGGCAATCTTGGCTTCTAAGGAGTATCCTGGTTGTACTTCTTTTTCATATATCCAATGGAACTGAAGTAAGAAACCCAACGTGGACTGAAGACATTGGCAAAGAACAACTTTCCAAAAGTAATGGAATACAAATTGAAATCTTTCAAAAAACTGAGACAACAGTAGAGGCACTCACTCATCTATGCCAAGATATTTGGAAGACCAACTGATTGAAAGAGATCCATATTTGTGCCCATTCCAAAGAGAGGTGACCCAAAGGAATGAGTAAATCATTGGATAATATCACATATTATATAATTCCATTCATATGAAATATCAAGAATAGATCAATTTATAGAGATCAAAAGCAGATTAGGGATTGCAAGAAGTTCAGGGAAAGGGAAATGAGGAATAACTGTTTAATGTGTATGAAGTTTCCTTTTGAGTGATAAAAATGTTTTAGAACTAGACAGAGTTAACGTGGAATAACACGACAAGTACTAAATGCCATGAAATTGTGCTCATTAAAAGGTTTAATTTTATGCTATGTGAATCATTAAGAAACAAAAATAGGATGAGAAATCAATACTTACATTCCAATACTCAAGAGATTGATTGCTTCGAAAAACATTAGAACTAATGTTGGGGCTAGAAGAATGAGGCACAACAAGCAGAAAGGATGAGACGTCGTATAGCAAAATTGTAGTCATATGTTGTATTCCTAATTACACGAGATCAAAAAGAATGCATAAACTGGTAATGCGGACGTTGTTGTTCTTGTTAGGCACCATCGAGTCAGTGCCAACCCAAAGCGACCTTATGCACAGCAGAACAAAACACTGCCCGATCCTGGGCCAACCTCACTATTGTTGCCACACTTGAGTTCATCGATGTTGCCACTTAGGCAAACCATCTTGTTGGGGGTCTTCCTCTTTTTATCTGACCCTCTACCTTACCAAACATGATATCCTTCTCCAGCGACTGGTCCCTCCTGACAATATGTCCAAAGTATGAGAGTCAAAGTTTGGCCATCTTGGCCTCCAAGGAGCACTCTGGCTGCACTTCTTCCAAAATGGATCTATTGGTTCTTTTGGCAACCAATGGAACTTTCAATAATCTCTTCCAACACCATAACTCAAAAGCACCAATTCTTCTACGGTCTTCCTTATTCACTGTCCAGCTTTCGCATGCATATGAGGTTACTGAAAATACCATGGCTTGGGTCAGGTGCACCTTAGTCCTCAAGCTACCATCTTTGCTCTTCAACATTTTAAAAAGATCTTGTGCAGCAGATTTGCTTAATGCAATACATCGTTTGATTTCTTGACTGCTGCTTCCGTGAGTGTTGATAGTTGATTTAAGAAGAATGAAGTCCTTGACAACTTCAATCTTTTCTCCATTGATAAGGATGTTGTTAATTGGGCCAGTGGTGAGGATTTTTGTTTTCTTTACATTGAGATGTAATCCATACTGAATTTACAGAAATGTAAAACTCTTTTAACAGACCTTGGAGCTTTTAGAAGAACAAATTACCCATCAAAGGCACTCTGACAGATGTTAAGTGCCGTCTAGCTGGTTCTGATTCATAACGACCCTGTATAGTGTTTCTGAGGAGCAGCTGGTGAATTTTAACTGCCAGGCATGTGGTTCAAACTGACATTGAGGTTGAGTGCTTATTCTATGGCACCATATCAGGACTCCGAAACCAATACACAAAAAATAAAATGACTACAGAATGGAGATGAAAGGTTTTGACTCCAGTCTACAAAATAAAGTCTTCATTATTAATGTGAAATTCCACTCTTTACACAATCTGAACATCAAATTGGATTTCCAACATAATCTCTCAGTGCATTCTACCAAATATGCTCAATCCTGGCTATTCCTCACTATTCTCTATTATCCTCCAAACAAGAAACATTTCAACTTTGGTACTGTTATGAATTGATTTGTGTCAAAAGATATTGTGAAATCTGAACAAACAAGAGGCTCACCCAGGAGACATCAAGGCAAGTGGTCGGGTCCCTTCAGGGCAAACCTCCTTCTAAGACTAAATGGGAATACATGCTCTGATTGTTGACCATGTTCGTCACCAATAAGGGGAAGTGAGGAAAAAACAGTAATGAAGCTGCGAGCTAAGCCCTACAACGTTCAATAGACTCCTGTGAACTCAAGTGGAGACCTGGTTGTCCAGCAGTGTGGCAAAACCTGGGGACTCTTGGGCCCAGAGTCAGTGACATAGCCACAGAGGACTAGAGTGGCGAGTGGAGCATCCAGCTGATAAGAAGAGAGGGCACATGCATAAATAAGTACACCCACACTTGCAGATAATACCCTCTTGACCTGGCTTCAATGACTGGATGATCAGAGCTCAACTAGAAGAAGAAAGAAGAGGGAAAAAAGAGTAATCTGATACAATTCGATGAACTTGACCTACACCTATGGATGCAGTAGCTCAAAAGAAGGAACAAATCTTCACAGCGAGTATCATTCCCATCCCCTCCATACATGAAGTGGACAGGGATGGGCAACTTGGACATTGGCTACCAAGAATGAGGGTGCTACACAGGTAAGAAGTGACTGGATTACAAGCTTTCAAGAGGGAACCTAGATCCAGAGGGCGTGGAGCAAGGTAGAATCTCCACTGAGTAGTATCCAATCTTTCTTGGCGGGGCTGATGAAAAGAGATGTGGATAGGTCTCTTACAATACAATAGTGAATAATTATAATCAGGACTAATTGTAAGAGTTGGAAATTTAAAGGTAGACATTTTGTGGCATAAAGAGGGGAGTGATTGACTTTGCACTCTAGGAGCGAAGGTTACTGGGACCATCAAAGGAGAAGAGCAGAGAGTGGAACCCTCCCCAGAGAAGCAGTGATGTCAAAGATGGAGGCAGAAATGATGACATGGAGAGACAGAGTGGCTAGGGACTTTGAACCCAGTGAGGGAGAGAGGCTGTGTGCTGATGACCGGGGGACAGGCTTGCAGGGTAAACCCTTTGGTTGGTTGATGATGCATGGAGGGGATTGTAACCCTGGCAAGGAAACGATATACGATAGGATGAATGTGAAGATAATATTCTCCCATGTAAACTATCATATAATTCACAATAAAGCATTAAAAAAAGATATGCTGAAATCCTAATCTTTGTGAATGTGACCCTGTTTGGAAGCAGGCTCTTTGAAGATATTATAATTTAGGTTAACACGGAGAGTGATCTGGCAGATATTCTGAATTCAGAATAAGTATATATCACACTTCAACATAAAGAAAGCAAAAATTCTTACAACTGAACCAATAAACAGCATCATGATAAATGGAAAAAGGATATAAGTTGTCAAGGATTTAATTTTATTCAGATCCACAATCAATGCCCATGGAAGCAGCGGTCAAGAAATCAAATGACATATTAGGATATGAAAATCTGCTGAAAAAGGCTTCTTTAAAGTGTAAAAACCAAACAAAATAAAGATATCAGTTTCAGGATTCAGGTGTGCTTGACCCAAGTCATGGTATTTTCAATTGTCTCATACGCACACGTAAGCTGGGCAATGAATAAGGAAGACAGGCTATGAACCAATGCATCTGAATTATGATGTTGGCAAAGAATATTGAATATACCATGCAAGAAGAATGAACAAATCTATCTTGGAAGAAGTACAGTCAGAACACTCTATGGAAGAGAGGATGGTGAGACTTCATCTGTTATATTTTGGACACTATGCTTGATAGTTAGCCAAAAAAAGAGAGATCCAAAAAGAGATGGACTAACACAATAGCTGAACCAATGGGCTCAAGTAAGGTATTAATTATTTGAAGATGGCAGGACTAAGCAGTATTTCATGGTGTTGTACATGGGGTTCCTATGAGTCAGAACTGACTCATTGGCACTTAACAAGAAGGACAAAATATTAGGATAGGATGGTCCTGATCCTGTATAATTGATATTATTACAAAAAGGGAGAAAGTCCACAGAGATAGAAACAGGATGAATGATGTGTGTTGATGCCACTGGAGCGACCAGAAGCTCATAGAGAGGCGTAGAACAATTTCTCCCAGGGCCCTAAGATGGAATCTACATAGATTTTAGACTTCTTTCCTCTAGAACAGGAGACAGTACATTTCTGTTCCTACTTTGCTGTTGTAAGGTGCCCAATTCATGGTATTTTGTTATAGAAACATTAGGACACTAAGACATATACCATTTTTCATCTGGTTTATTGTCTCCCGAATGACTTCTCCTTTTTTCAAATACTTATTGATGAAGATCAAAGACCACGGTCTTCAGCATGGATTGCAGCTCAAGATAAAGAAAATATCAATCCTCACCACTTGACAAAAAAAAAAAAAAAAATAACATCATGATAAATGGAGAAAACATTGAAGTTGTCAAAGACTTCATTTTGCTTAGATCTACAACCAACACTAGGATCAACCATCAACACTCCTGGGAGCAGTACTACTGAAATCAAATGGCATATTGCATTGCACAAATCTGCTGCACAAAAACTCTTTAAAGTGTTAAAGAGCAAAGATCTTAGTTTGAGCACTAAGGTGCACCTGATCCAAGTCATGGTATTTTCAATAGCCTCCTATGCATGTGAAAGTTGAACAATGAGTAAGGAAGAACATAGTAGAATTGATGCGTTTGAGTTATATTGTTGAAGAAGAATATTAAAGGTATGATGGACTGCCAGAAGAAGAAACAAAACTCCATTGGAAGAAGTATAACCAGAATGCTCCTCAGAAGCCAAGATGGCCAGATTCTGTCTTTCATTCTTCAGCTATATTACAGGAGGAACCAGTCCCTGGAGAAGGACATCATACTAGGTAAAGTGGAGTGATAACAAAAATGAAGCAGAACCCAATGAGATGGATTGGCACAGAAGCAACAAAGGTCTCAAGTATAGCAGAAATTGTGAGGATGAAGCAGGACCAGGCAATGTTCATTCTGTTGTATGTAGGGTCATTATGAGTCAGAAATGACTTGACAGCCCTTAACAACAACAATAGGCATTTAGATTCCAAAGACATAGATGTTTTTTCAAAATGGAAACTGTAAACTGGAAGCAATCTTGCATGGGAGCCTTGCTAATGATTATGGTGTCTTTTGAACTGGACCTAATTCATATCCTTAATGAACAATAATGACATTAGCATTGATAGACTTGGTGCCCACCATGTAACCTCTGAAGGGGCCACACATACCAAACACTTCATCCAGTTCATTTTCCACTTTTTTCTGGGCTTCTGGATAACATCCTAACAGATACAAAGACCAGTTTATTGCAGCTGCTGTTGTATCATGGCCCTAAAAGCATAAGGAAACAGATCAAAAAGCAGAAAGTAAAAAATGACTATAATAATTTTATTTTTTAAATTTATTTATGTTTTCATTTTAGCTCTTTTATTTATTCATTTTTTAACACTCAGGGATATATAATAATTTATACCACCAAAGGACACATTCTGCAAGTCTGTCTCCTGGCCGCCATTTCTTAGTCCCTCTCTTCCTATGAATCTAGAGTCCTCAGCTGCTCCCTCTCTCCATGTCCCCATCTCTGCTGTCACTGCTTCTCTGGATAAGGTCTCTCATTCTGCTTGTGCTCTTCTCCCTTGATGGTCCTAAGGTCCATTGTTTCTGGACTGTAAGATTAACTATTCAGAATTATCTTAGTAAAAGGTTTTTATTTTTTGAAGACTAGAAATCCCTTTAGAATCACAAAATGGTTAAAATCTTTATTGGTTTTATTATTATTATCCTCTTAAGTTAAAACAGCTCATAACAGTAGCTAAGCACCTATTTAAGAGTCCTGGTGTGGCTCTGTAGGTTAATGCAAAGTTGGTGTGAACCTCAAGGTTGGTGGTTCAAGTTCACCAGATGCTTCTTGAAAACTGACTATGGGTCACTATGGGTCTGAACCAACTCGACGACATGTAACAACAACAACAAGCACCTATTTGCTCAAACTTCAAAAAGGAGACAGTGAGAAATGGACTTGTGGGTTTTGAAGGTTAAAGGGTAGCATGAAACACTACAGAGAACTGAGAGTAATTTCTGGCTGCTCATTTGTTTGAGAAGTTGGAAGAATTTAAGTTTCTTGAAGGAAAATAAGTCTATTAGTGTACCCACCACTTGTCAAAATACTTTTCTAAGGAAGAAAGCATATTTGGTACTTAACCCCATTCTTAAATTTACTTATTTATTTTTTTCTACAGAGAATCAAAATAGAGCCCCACACATATATGGTCAACTGATTTTTGACAGAGGCATCAAAATTATTAATTAGAGGAAGAGGGAAGAGTGGCGGTAGTTGTGTGCCATGAAGTCAGTCCTGACTCCTAATGACCCTATAAATCTTTCTGGGGCTGTAAATCTTTACTGGGAGCAGAAAGTCTCATCTTTCTCCCATAGAGAGATTTGATAGATTTGAACTGAGGACCTTTCAGTTAGCAGTCTAATGCATAACCCACTATGCTATCAGGGCTCCTTCGAGGAAGAGTAGTCTTTTCAACAAATTGTACTGGAACAAGTAGATATTCATACACAAAAGAAAAATGAACTTTAATCCATAGTTCACACCACTAAATTAGTGTAGATTACACACCTTAGTATAAAATTTACGATTATAAAACTTGAAAAAGTGTTGCTCATATGTTTGCTAAACCATTCAATATAAGTTATATACATGATAGTCAACCTTAAGCACTTCAACATGTTCCTAAAAAATTAAGTATGTTACTTAGCCACATCACCATGATCACACCCAATAAAATTAGCACTGGTACAATATTATTTATTTACAGATTTCCAAGTTTGTTTAATTGACTAAATAATGATCTTTTCTTGTTGTCATTGTTGTTTTTCCAATCAAGGATCAAATCAACCATTATTCACTGCATTTCCTTTTCATATTTCTTTATCTCCTATAATCTAGAATAGTCTCTCCCCACAAATTTAAACATTTTTATGACACTGATATTTTCCAAAATTCTAGAAAAAGTTTTCACACAAAAAGAAGCAATCTTCTCCTGGAAGCCACACAAAAAGAAGAATGTTTCTTTTTGTGTGAAAACCTTTCTTGAATTTTTATAATAGGGGCTTCATAAAATATTTGACCTTTTGTGATGATTTATTTCACTCTGTACAATGTCTTCAAGGTTCATCCATGTCATGAGGTGTTCCAAAGATTCAGCATTGTTCTTTAGTAATGGTATTCAGTATTTCATTATGTACCATAGTTTGTTTATCCATTCTTCTGCTGATGGGCAATTAGGTTGTTTCCATCTTTTTGCTATTGTGAACAATTCTGCAATTAACATGGGTGTGCATATATCTAAGCGTTATGGCTCTTATTTCTCTAGGCCATCTGAGTAGTAAAATAGCTGAGTCATATAGTTTTTCTATCTACAACTTTATAAGGAAATGACATATTGTTTTCTGGGTTCCAGTCTCCATTTAATATTTTCTTCTGTTTTTTAAAATCTATTTAATATCTTCTGTTTTTCAAAAATTTACTATCAATGTTGTAGTGAGGTGACATATCATTGCTGTCTTGATTTGCATGTCTCTAATAGTAAGGAGCTCTGGTAGTGTAGTGGTTACGAATCGGGCTGCGAACCTTAAGGTCAGCGGTTCGAAACTATCAGCTTCTCTGTGGGAGAAAGATGAGGCTTTCTACTCCCGTAAGGATTTACACCCTCGGAAACCCTGTACAGGGTCGCTATGGGTCGGAACCGACTCGACGGCACTTAACAACAACAACAACAATAGTTAATGGTGGAATCTTGGTGTGGTGTGGTGGGTTAATGTGCTGGACTCCAAGGCTGGTTCAAACTCACCAGCTGCTCCTTGGAAACCCTATACAGGGTTGCTAAGAGTCGGAACTGATGCCACGGCACTCACCAACAACACCACTGTAACTTCTTAATATAATGATCTTCCTCAGTTATATTAAGCTACATTAAAATTTGACTAATGTTTTCAATGGTAGAGATTGTATAAACAACTGGCATCTGTTTAATGGTATCTGAAAATGACATGGCAATATAAAATACCTCAAACATGAAGGTGTCCACTTCTTCTCGAATGTCTTCGTGACTTAGCTTTTTCCCCTCATCATCAACCGCATTCAACAGCAAGTCAAGAAAAGCTCTGCGTTTGTTTTTCTCATAATCACCTCTACCTTTTTCCTCTGACTTCATTTGCCTCACTCGTTCAGTTATGACCTGTATAATTTAAACAACCATCACTGTTGCTTTTGCTTAGAATATGATACATCCTAATGACATTTTACAAGAAAAATACATTTCTTTCTTTAACTTAACTTTTTATGAACTTTTCATGTGCTTCCTATCTTAACAATAAGTTAAGTTCTTATGAAAATATAGGAAAGCTTCCTGTTAAAATTTAGGGTATTATTTGTTGAAACTTAAAAAAAAAAAAAAAAAAGTAGTGAAAATATGCATACCAAAACATATACGATTTCAACAATGAATACGCATACAATTCAATAACATCAATACATTTTTTAAGCTCTGCAACCATTCTCTCTGTTCTTTTCCAAATTATTCCATGTGATTGGGTGAAACTTTTAAAACAAATTTAATGTTAGGTAAATTCATAATTTCAAAGTGGTATTTGTTTGCAGTCTTTCCAACATGGGAATACAGTAATAGTCTACTGAATAGTACCCTAGAGATTTGAAAAACTAGTAGGAAAAAAAAAGTTCCAGTAGTGGAGAGAATGTAATCATTATATAATTGACCAATTATAGATCACTCTTAATTGCATGTTTTATTGGAGAAAAGAAATAGTAAGGATGCTCAGTCATTTATCCCTTTGTGCTTGCTGTTCCTTCTTAGAATGCTCCCCAGATGCCTACATGACTAGTTCCCTCCCTTCCTTTAGGTCTCTCCTCACTGTCACCCATCAGACACCTTCTATGACTGTGACTTGATTCACTATCACTTGTTCTCTTCCTAACTCAATTTTATTTTTCTCTATTTAACTTATCACCATCTGAAATATATTTATTAATGGATGTCTTTCACTCTAACTTGGGAGTCCTGGTGTAACACTAGGATAAGCCCTAGACCACAAGATCTGTTTGAACCACAAGGTCAGCATTCAACTCACCAGCTGCTCCTCAGAAACCCTATACAAGGTCACTATGAGTCAGAAGTGACTTGATGGCACTTAACAACAGCAACTCTAACTTGAAAGCGTTGTTCATGTGACAGGGAATTTGTCTTATTCATAACGTATTTCTAGCTTCTGGAGAACTGATTTGCATTTTAAGAGAACTCTCATTAGACTCTGTTGAGTGAATACACAAATTAAAGTCCATAAACTTACTTGTGTTATGCATTTCAGCTTTTGCCTTCTATGATGCAGCTGACCAAACCTGCTACTTAGTGACTTGAGAGACATGAATCCTAAGTACTTTTGGGACAAAACCCCATGTATTATTTTATTCTTGATAGAATTCCCAGTGTCTGGTATGCAATATACAACTATTCAATAGTTATTAAATAGATAATATTTTTCAGTAAATCTGAATTTTGTTAATGACTGATATTGCTGTTAAGTGCTGTGGAGTTGGTTCCAAATCATAATGACCCTACAAGAATTTCAAAGGAGTGGCTGGTGGGTTTGACCTGCCAACCTTGTGGTTAGCAGCCCAGTGCATATCTTACAGATCTACATTATGAAACACATATATATTAATTATGTGAAATTTATGGGGAAATGCAATTAGGCTTGTAGCATACAAATAATAATGAAGAAAATTAAGAAACAAGATTAGGTTCCTTTTATGCTCCTTTCCTTATTTAAACATAGAGTACCAAAGGTTAGGCCAAAACTATTGATTATTCTTTTATCATAAGATTTTAGTTCACTTTGGCAAACTCAAGCCAATACCTCAAACCTCTAACATCTACTGACTTATTAACTAATTGCTCTGTTGGTGGTAGGATGTATGTACCTTACTGTAAGGAATCAATTCTAAAATATTTTAAACCAAAATTTGCAGCAAAGTTAGAATATATTCAAATAGGCACTTTTTGGGGTACATTTAAATTATAACTTGACATCCTTTCAAATAATCTTGCTTTTTTCATGAAACACCCTTAATACAGAGACTGCCATATTTTATAGTAACTTACTATCTCCTTGGTTTTTTAAAATGGTAAACAGAATGATAATTTCTATTTATTACTAAATAGTAAAGTTTTCATGTTTGCCAAGTTAAGATACTGCTTTAAAAGATGCTCTTTGCCTCTGCATTATTTTAACACAGCACTCTACTTGTTAGTAAGCTGTCGTAACTCATATTACACTGTGTACTTATTAGGTTACAGACAAACTCTTCTACTAAATGAACCTCTTTTAGGGTAGAAACATCACATTTGTACTCATTACTATGCTTGGTTCTATGTTTGGTATTTGTTAGGAGCTAACTGATAGAGAATCTCTAAATAAGGTTCCAAGAATTAGCTGGTGGGTTTGAATCCACAAACTTTATTGCTGGTAGTCCAGTGTTTATCCTACCGTTCCACACCAGGACTCCCATTTGGTGTTGTTTGTTGTTGTTGTTGTTGTTAGGTGCCATTGAGTCAGTACTAACTCATGGTGACTCTATGCACAACAGAACAAAATACTGCCTGGTCCTGCGCAAACCTCACAATCATTCCTACACTTTGCCCACTGTTGCTGCCAATGTACAAACCTATCTCCTTGGGTGTCTTTTTCTTAGTGCTTAATTAATATTTGTTGAATAAATATACATGTAATCCTGTTTCCTAATTTTCTTCATTATTATTCAATTGCACTTTTATTTTATGATTCACAAACTCTATGGTCCTATAAAGTATGTGAAAAAAAACTAAGAATCATGAACTTACATTGTTGGTAAAATTATGTAGAATCTTAAGGTTCCTTCTATGCTCCTTTCCTTCTTTAAGCATAGAGTACCAAAAGTTAGGCCAAAACCAGGGCATCTTTACTCTTCGAAGAATTATGTCACTCATCCTAGAAATAGGATAAAAACACATTAGCTATTATATCAAAAATGTGTATTTCTTGAGTACCTACTATTTGGTACCTGGCTTCAATACAAGCAATATATGGGAATGATGATAATGAGTCTTAGAGGCAACTAAGAGTTTCATGCTTTAAGTTTAGCAATGAGACATGTGTTGTTACTTATCCCATCAAGCCTAAAAAATATAATGGGCTCTTAAGAAGAATGAAGAATCCTTTTTAAAGTATCCTTACTAGCTGGCCATTTGATCTCTCCTTCTTGTTTTTCAGTATCTTCCAGTGCTTCTGGGGCTTGTGTACCACAGGTCGAGATGAAATTTACTTCTTTTGTGATTGTAAAAATAGAGTTAACAATTGGCAATTCAACATTTTTCTTGTATACAATTCACTCAGACCAATTACATCAATCCGGATGTGCAGCCATCACCTACATTAGTTGCCAAATTTTCCATCATTAACAAAAATTTCATGCTACCCAAACAGTAATTGGACTCCTGGTGTGGTGCTGTGGGTTAATGCACCAGACTGCAAAGCCATTTGAACTGCACGGTCGGTGGTTCAAGCTTACCAGCTGCTCCTCGGAAACCCTATACAGGGTCACTATGGGTCAGAATCGACTTGATGGCACTTAACAACAAAACAGTAATTGGAGCCCTGGTGTGGTGCTGTGGGCTAATGTGTCAGACTGCAAAGTCATTTGAACTGCAAGTATGGTGGTTCAAGCTCACCAGCTGCTCCTTGGAAACCCTATACAGGGCTCCTATGGGTTGGAATAGACTCGACAGCACTTAACAACAACAACAACAAACAATAATTACCCTTTTCCCTGTCCCTCTTACCATTATTAAACTCTGATCTCTATACATTTTTCTATTCTAGACACTTTATGCTATGGAAATTATACAATATTAGTTATTTAGTGATTGATTCATTTACTTTTTTTAATGTACACTCATTTGTTTTGGTCAGTCTCCTGGAATGAAAGACATCAACAGTCTACTCTCTTGCACAGCAGGGTGTTCATTAAATACATGACTATCACACAACTGTCGTTAGGAGTCCTAGTGGTGCAGTGGATAAATCACCTGGCTGCTAAACAAAAGGTTGGTGGTTCAAACTGACCACCTGCTTTGTGGGAAAAAGATACAACAATCTTTTCTACAAAGATTTACAGCCTAGAAAAACCTCACGGGCAGTTCTATTGTGTTATATTGGGTTGACATAAGTGGGAATCAACCCCAAGACACACAACAAGAACATGATTGTCCTTAGGGCCTCCATTTCCAGTGGTAGAGCAGAGATACCGCTGCATGATCTCCTCCTTCAGTACCAGCTTAGAGATCAATTCTTCAGAAAGACCTGAACAGAGCACACAACCTGTAGGATTTATTCCCAAGTTTCTCTCTAATATCAACTTGATCTTTTCTAAGAAATTATAACAATGTATTTGTCATCGTCGTGATGTGTTGTGGAGTGGGTTCCAACCCATAGCGATCTAGTAGCGTAGTGGCTACGAATCGGGCTGTGAACCTTAAGGTCAGTGGTTCGAAACTACCAGCCGCTCCACGGGAGAAAGATGAAGCTTTCTACTCCCGTAAAGATTAACACCCTCGGAAACCCTGTACAGGGTCGCAATGGGTCGGAACCGACTCGACGGCACTTAACAACAACAACAACAACAACAACACTACTCTAGCTCCTTATATTTTTAGTTTATATTTATTTGCTCATTGCCTGTCTCCCATGTTATCCTGTTAATTTTATGAACCACTTATTTTACTAGTGAAAGGAGCCATGATGGTGCATTGGTGAAGTGCTCAGCTGCTAACTGAAAGGTTGGTGGTTCGAACCCACCAGAGGCTCTGGGAAACAACAAAAAAAACACCCAGTGATTTCCTCCCATAAAGATTTACAACCTAGAAGCATGTGGAACAGCTCTACTCTGTTCTACAGAGTTGCTATGAGTTGGAATTGACTCAGGTACACACAACGACAACAGCATACAACTAGAGGTTAAGCACTCACATGGTTTAGCACTTAACTATTAACTAAAAGGCTGGTAGTTTGAACCTACTGAGGTGCCTTTGAAGGTCTAGTGATCTGCTTCTGAAAGGCCACCGCTTTGAAAACACTATGGAGCAGTTCTGCTCTGCAAACACGGAGTTTGTGTGAGCCAGAATCACCTTTATGTCAACAAATAACCACTAGTAAGTACTTTGTGCAATTACTGAGATATTGCAATTGCACAATTAATAGTTATTGAAATGAAGTAAAACAAGCAAGATAGAATGTATAGCACTGCTTCTTAATAGCTAAAAACTACAAACAAATTTTTAGTGCAAAATTGCTTGGATAACAAAAACATTAGGTACTCAGTATTAAAAATATTGGAAAGTAAAATAAAGGACTAACAAAACACAATTAAAAAGAAGTACATACACAAAACAATGATAACCACAGCTAACATTTTGGCATAGTATCTTCTAGTCTGTTTTCTATGAATACTTTTTAAGCTTATGGCTATCATACTACGTAAAATGATTTACATCTTCCTTTTATCATTTTGCCTCATACGTACCTCTTAATATATTACAAGATAATCATTTTAAATTTCAGTAAAATCTGTATGTGCCATGCTTTACATAATCATCCCTCTACTGTTAAAGAACATGCCTAAACTATTAAATTACATTTTCGTATGATGCTTCACTTGAAGCAATGAGAAATATACAACCTAAGCAAAAATGATTAACAATCACTTTTTAAAGTTCAAATCAATAAAGTTCAAATAAAAATCTGAAAAATAATTGAAAGGACTTCATTTACCTATAAACTGCATGAACATAGTCAGAATCGTCATTATACTGAGCACCGATATTCTTCCCCATAGCTGTCTCTATAAAACATGGGTGAGATACATTCATTTGATTCATGCATACATCTTGTATTTATTTTGCAATGGCAGACATTTAAAAAGACATTCATTCAGTTCGGTTTGTATATATTTTAGAATTATTCTTTCCCCCTTATCTTTCTTCTCTTGTACTTGCTGCTTCTTCATATTCCTCACTTCTGTTCTTTCTTCCCTTTGACTTTCCTGGAACTGTGGTTTCGCCCCTACCTCTAGAAGTAACTGCTGTTGCTCCATTTTCTAATTCAGTAGTGGGCCCACACTGAAGAATCAAGGGTTTCCTAACTTGTCCTCCCAGTCGAATGTTATTTTCTATTTGGACCATTTTATCTTACATCACAGTTTTAGAAAGAAACAAGAGATTTACCACAGATAATATCCAAGGCACAGAGAGTGATGTAAAAACAGCAGTTAAATGCTTCTTGGTCAACATGTTTTTCCAGTTTATTAACCAATATATTTGCTTGTTCATTCATGACATCTAAGAAATCATCCAGAATTGTAAAATGGAAAGTGGGTGTTAACAACTTTCTCCTGGTGCGCCATTTGTTTCCAGTACTAGAAATACAATACATGGTTATAAATTTTTAAAAGGAAACAACATCCAAAGCAAGCAAAGCATAAATATAGCCATGTCAACAAAATTATCCTTAAACAGCTAGCTCTAAAGATTCTCAAATGTTCTGCTCAGAATTACAAAGAACACATACACAATATTCACACACAGATCTTTTGGATTATGTTGTACATTATTTTTGACTATTTCTTTTCTCCCCCTCAGTGTCTATTTTTAAATGATATGCAAGGGAAACCAAGATTCAAAAGACAACCAAGCATCTTAACATTATCCGCACCCCTCCCCCCCACTTTCCCCAGCATGTCTCAATCCCTGTATCCCAGAGCTCTGTTGTTCCAAGGTTGTGCATACATCATTCTTTACCTCTGTCCCACTTAGCCCTTGCGAACCTACCTAATTGTTCTTCCATTCGCTTTTGTTCTTCCATTCCCTTCCCCCTTTATATTGTCCCCCTCCCCAGCACCCAAACAGTCCTGTGTCTATTCCCTGCCCTGTGCTCCACCTTCCCCTCCCTCCCCTCATCCCAGCAACCAGCAAAGAATCCCACCC